GTGGGGCCTCTTCCCTGCAGACTGTGGTCAGCAAGGTGAAGGCTGCTGGCCACAGTCATAACAGCTGAGCTGATCTGTGATTTCTGTCTCTCCTGCCAATGTTGGGGCCAGATTTGCCGATGTGTTTGTGTTGGTGTGCAAGATGCTGGAGAGAGGCCATCTGCCCCGCGTGTCAGATTCCAGATTCCGTATGGTTATTATGGCAGGGTTTGGGAGAAGTATCCACAGAGCTAGAGGCAGGATTAGAATAAAGAGGTGCTAATGGCATGCAGTTGGGAAGGTAAAGGAAACTGTCGGGAACTTGATGGAAAAAGAGGGTTGAAGAAAATTAAAGAAAGATCAGGGGAAATAAAGAAAAATATAAGGGAGAAGACAAACATCACTGTTGTTTTAAAGGTCAAGGAGTAACAATAATACAGAAAGGCTCTTTCACCTTGCCAGATTCAACAGTGGGTTGCATTTTGGCTTCTTCAATAAAATTTTCACCATTGGGATCTTGGGCTCTCCTTCCAGGGTACAGGCTCTGTCTTCCAGTCATGCCTACCCCACCTGAAGCAGCCATTTATTCTCCAGACCCTACACATCTCCACACTCATCCCCTTTACCAAGGTCCAGTTTTTACTTATAGATCAAGTCTCTTCTGATTATTTAGCACTAGTTCTCTGAGGCCAATCTCTTCACTTTTCTTCACTTACTAGCTTATGTCCATATTGTTATATGTTCTGAAGACAGACTGAGGTCAACTAGATCATGCTATGCAATAATTCAAGTTTTATTTTTCAAATATATGTGTGTGTACATCTGTGTGCTTAAATATAAATAAATATAACTAAGATTTGCAGGAATTTTAAAATCTATCAGATCACACATTTCTTCAAACAATACTCTTTAATAAGCCATGACATTTCATTTTCATGAGTCCACTTTAAGAAACAATACAAACTCAGAGGTTTAAAACAAACAAACAAACAAACAAACCAGACTAGAGGAGGCATCCAGGCTTTCTTTTTGAGGCTCTGAGACAAATTTCAGGTGCTCTCTTCTCTCAACTTCATTCTATCCTCTGCTTTTGGAAACTCCACTTATTCTTTAAGTCTGATTCATATGATTTTACAGAGTTAGGAAGGGGGTCAGAGAGGAAAAAAGATGACCCAGAAAGGTAGGTCAGAAAGGGGGAGGAAGAAACCTAATATTTAACAAGTCACAAGAGAGCAAAGAACTTGTGTGTGTTTCTTCCTTCTAAATAACTTGGTACCTAGAATAGGGCCTGGTGAATGAAAAGGTGTTCAACAAATACATGCTAGATGAAGGAAATTACCAATTGTACTGTGCCCTCAGGGTCAGGCTGGGTGCTTTTAAAAAGAGTACTGAACAACTGGTCAATAAAAAGTAACTTGGTATAACAACATGCTCTTCTTTGTATAATAAGGACACGTATTTCCTGAGGTAGTACCTTTAGAGCCTGGGCTCATGCTGAGGCTCTGTGGTCCTAGCCTCTGGGAGGACAAAGCAAGGGTAAGTAATAATCTAAGGCTGGGCCAGCAACTTACTACTCAGGGGCCCAGTCTGGCCTGCAGACTGTTTTTGTACAACCCAGGAGTTAAAAATGATTTTTACATTTTCAAGAGGGTTATAAACAAAACAAAGAAAAACAGACATCAGAAACTGTATGTGGCTTGTAAAACCAAAACTACTTATTATCTAGCCCTTAACAGAAAAAAGTTTGCTAACCCTCATTCTAAAGAGATACTAAAAATGTGCTTCTGAGCTTACTTTTGGTCTAAAGTGTGTTTGGCTTGAACTTGTGTTCAACCATGGTGAGACTGCAGGCCTGTGGTCTGTCAGAATGCTCTGTGAGCATTCTGGAGCCACACCTACCTACGCACACTGACATACACACACTGAGACACACACACACTCGATGTTCTCCATCCAAGCTTAGAGCAGCTCTGTAGCACTGATTTATAGAATTTCTACCTTTGTTAACTCATGTTTGGTGATGTGACTTTTGTGTGACTTTTGTAGGTGTTTTCCTACATGATTTTCTGGTTAGAGTTTTGCAGTGCAAATGAGTCCCCTTCTAGAATATCTTTGTGGCAAAATCATAAGGTGCCACATGTAATATGGTGTAATGGTCACAGAGCTTTGTTATGGAGCTCTGGATTCATCTGGAATCTAGTTGAAATGCTCAAGATGTGACCTAATTACCTCTCTTCTGTCTTTCACTAAAGCTGGGGAATTTCTGGTCATTGTTTCTGATTATTTTCTGCTCTATTCTTCCCCACCTCCCCTTCTCTGACTCTAATTACTCTTATGTTAGAATGCCTCATATTATGCCACAGATCATGGAGTCTCTATCATCATCATCATCATCATCATCATCAATCTTTTCCTTCCATTTTTCAGAATGGATAATTTCTATTCTTCTATCTTCAAGTGTGATGATCTCCCCCCCCCCCATCATCTGCTGTCAGGCCCATCAAGTGATTTAAAAAAAAAATTCAGATTCTGTATATTTCAGTGCTAAAATTTGGTTCGCTTTTAGTGTCTCTTTTTTGTGCTTAGGTTTCTTATATGTTCATTGATTGTGACTATGTTTTTTCTTATGTTTTTGAGAATAACTATAATAGCTGCTTTGAAATTCTTACCTGTTAATCTCAGTATATGTGGCATCTTGGAGTCAGTTTCCATTAATGTATGGGTCACATGTTTCTGGGTTGTTTTTGTTTTTTTGTTTTTTTTGGTATGTCTAGTGATTTTGGACTGTGTCTTGAACATTGTGACTTCTATGTTAATCTGTAGCAGTGCTGTTCAATAGAATTAACACATGAGCCATATATGTAATTTTAATTTTCTATTACCCACATTCAAAATCAAAAAGAATTTGGTGAATGTAATAATGTCTTGCATTTAACCCAGGGTATTCAAAATATAACTATTTCAACACGTAATCAGTATTAAAAATTACTAAGATACTTCACAATCTCTTTCCATACTAAACCTTTGAAATCAGATGTATACTTTTACAGCACATTTCAATTTGGACAACACTGCTACCAAATATGGTTATGTGCTCAGCACAGTTAAGAGTATCATTAGTGAAGAATACTGAAGGTTGGTCCGATAAAAGCAATCCCATCATTTAAATTCTATTCGATATCATTCTATAGAGATGCTATGGGCCTACCGTGACATGAAGGAGGGCAGAGTACACTGGGCTTCTCTTCCCCATCACATATGTGTCTCAATTCACTCAGAACAACCCTGATTTCACGTTTTACGTTATGTGGCTTATGTGCACAATTTTAAAAATAATTGGAAACTAAAATAGTAGTTTGAAAACATAAATTATTCTAAAACATGATTCTTGGGGCACCTGAGTGGTTCATGCAGTTAAACATCTGACTTGATTTCGGCTCAGGTCATGATCTAATGGTTGTAGATCGAGCCTTGCACTGGGCTCTGCATGGGGCACAGAGCCTGCTTGGGATTGTCTCCCTCCCTCTCCCTCTGTCCCTTCCACACTTGCACGCATGCCAAATGAAATGAAATGAAATGAAATGAAATGATAAAATGATTCTTGAATGGATTCCTAAGATTGTTCTTGCTCAGTCATGCTCTTGAGCCCATGCTGACCTCTCTTCTAGATTTCTTATTCTACCATCTAATATATCACAGAGATGGGCTGTCTCTGTGGCCTGTCTGATCTCTGAGTCTTTGCAGTGGCAAGGCCTTCCTTCTTTGACCCTGGGTGTGTGTGGTTGATTCATTCATCAACTGATGCATTTGTGGGATGGCTGCTCATACCCAAGATGCTGAGGGAGACTTCTGAGAGTGAGCCATTCCTCATGGCCTTCAGTGTTAGGGTAGAATTTTAGTCTTTTGTTTAAATTGAAGTATAATGAACATACAGCATTATGTTAGTTTCATGTGTATGACATAGCAATTCAATAACTCTATACGTTGCTCACCACAATAAGTGTAGTTACCATCTGTCACCAAACAACACCGCTACCATCTTATTGACTATGTTCCCTAGGCTGCGACTTTTATCTCCATGTCTTATTTATTTTGTAACTGGAAGTCTGTACCTCTTAATCCCCTTCACCTATTTCCTCTTCCCACCCACCTTCATTCTTAATTTGCCATGGACCACACACAACCAATCTTCCTCTATCTTCCCTCTCTCACTCACACACATTTCACCAGTTTGACAAAGCAAAGGGGGTTTGCACGAAAACCAAAATGCTTTGTGAAACTTTTGCAACAGGCGAGAGGCACCAGGTCATCTTAAAAATCTGCTGTGTCAAAAGTCCAGCCTCTTTATAAAAGAAAAACATACATAGAACCACAAAACAAAAACCATGCACCTCAACCCAGAGCAGAATGGGAGGCAATAAGTGTAGTGATACTACACACTCTGAACAACCACAGCACTAGGCAAAGTCTCACTGAAATGACTGGAAATAAGCGGGCTTAACTGACAAACACATTTCACACAATTCATCACGGTTGACAGCCCAAGAAAATTCACTCCAGAGCACGTGAGAAACATGGCCACAAAAGCTGGGGTTGGCAACAGACGTTCTGATGGGTCCTAAACACTGTACACCAAGATCCACACTCACTGTGTTCATTTCAGCCACGGAAACAGATCAACCACAGACACTAACCTGGGTTACTTACCCGTGGGTGCTCACTCTCTGACTTCTAATTCCCCCCTTTTTTTCCAAGACAGAATAACTTGGGGTGAGCTGACATGTATCAGTTGAAAGCATGTGATGATTTTTTTCTCCATGAGATGTTCTTAGTGGTCTGCTAAAAAATACCTTCTAGCTAGGACTGTACATTTTTATCAGACTTCTCACCAGAAAGTCAGTATTTTGAGCAAGCAGAAATCACTTGCCAACAACAACAGAACATGGCAAAGAGAGGTATGGTGGTATTAACTGTATCTCACTGCCCCCAGGTGTATCTACCCCGAGAACACAGCAACTTACCGCGATTGGCACGGGTGTGAGTTGCACCTTCGGACCTGGGGCTCTGGACGGCTTGCTTGAGGACAGTCACTGTCATTCACCAGAGTTGTGGTCTTGTTAACAATCCGTGTGCAGGACACAATGGTTTTGCGTTCCCCTGGAAACCAAACACAGGGAACTGAGAGGCTATGGCTATACACACCTGCAAAGGCCATTCATTGATGCAGATGGAGGAACATCCGGGTGCATCTTTTGATCAGTTTGCCATTTCAAGTGACTGTTATTGATGCTTTATTGGTTGTCAGAGAGAAAGAACCATAAGATTAGGGTATGAGGGTGTGTAATACATGGCAGGGGCACCATGGGGCAGGCAGAAGATTCTAGAACAGGATCAGAAAGAGGCAACACCTCAGATTAGCTACATGCTTAGACAGCTTGGGATTCACTGGGGCTAAAGTTCTGATTTGGGTCTTTACTTTCCAACAAAGACTGCCAATCTCTTTACCTGTTCCTTTGATATTTAAAGTCTATGCAAGTCTGGTCTTGATTAATCACCTGTACAGCAGCCCTCACCAGAAGATCATGGCTCCCTATTACAGAATTCCTACTTGCTGGAGAGAAGTGAGAAGCAGAGTGGCTGGTGTGAAGGACACACAGACCTGTACCCTCCAGGCAGGCAATCTCAAGTCAATATGAAAAATCTGTTTTGCCAACTACTACTTGTCCTGATTATCACTTGCATTTGGGAATATCACTAACTGGTTATCCCAGATGGGTGTAGTCATTCTCTGGGTGTTCCCAAAGCACCCTACCCACTGCTTGGTCATGACTTTTGCCAGGGAGGCAGATGACAGGGAGAAGGGAGGGTAGTTTCTAGAGTCAGGCTGTCTGGGTTCAAACTTAGCTCTACCACTAGCATAATGATTACCGTATCAGCAGCTAGCCACCATGCTTCTTTGCCTCAATCTTCTCAACCAGCCTGGTTCATTTAACCCCCCTGTGCCTTAGGGTGCTTCAGGGATAGTTAAAATTAATCGATACACATAAAATATTTAGAACAGAGCCTAGCAAGGGTAAACACTCCATGTTAGCTATATTCTGTTTTCATTATTATTTGGGAAGAATGGCAACAAAAGATTAAGAGGATGTCAAGGACAACTATTGGACCCCAGATTTCTCTCTGGGTCTCCTGGAGAATTTGTCCTTTAGGGATGCCTCAGAAGTGTGGAGTCCTGAACTAGACCGCCAGCTCTTCCCGCCTACAACCACAGCCTTGGGTGGGTGTAGAAAGCATGGGGCCATCTCAAGCCACACTTCTGTTTTGGCTGCAAGTCTGACAATGGTGAGTCATTGGTTGTCATCTGACAACCTGGGAATCACTGCTGTCATAAAAGAATGCCACTGGGTCAACAGTGACAGCAGAACAGTACTCCCCTGCCCTCCGGCTAAGGGGAGCCTGCTAACTGCTCCATCTGGGCCATGCTTAGTTTGCAGTAAGTTGCCCAAGAGGAAAAGCCTGGCAATCAGGGATATGGGAGTTGCTGGATTTGGAGCTTGGAGGGACACGGGCACAGGGGGACAGCTGAGGGATGGGGAAGGAGAAGTGCAAAGTGAGATAACAACAGGGCTGATGGGGGGTCCTGAAGTTATGCCAACTTCCAGGGCTGCCTGAGAAACAGGCTAAGAACAAACAGCGAGGGCAGTTAGCCAAGATGTGCAGAAGGAAGGAATTCACAGTTGGCCCTGGCAGCGTCTGATGGCCCAATAATGTTACAGTTATAATTCCTGCCCATTAGAAATGGGACAAGTCACTAAATGGTAAGCAATCCTCTATGTATTGGGTATCTGACAAATACCATCTTAGTCGTCAGGAGCCATGCGGGATTGGGTGCTGGTGGTGCCATCCCACTCTCTGGGCTGGCATTCCAGAGTCCAGGCGAACCCTCCATCCTAATTCTGTGCCCATAAAAACTCACCCATCCTGTGTCTCACTTCCCATGACCCGGCTGTGTGTCCTATCAGGGTGACAAAGGACAATGTCCCAAGGGGCTGCTGGCTAAGAGTTCAGAATGGCTTCCTACTGCTCCCCCTAAACCTCCCCACAATGAATATGGTGACTTTTGTCAATACAAATTGTATTGCAATTGGCATATTACAGTAGCCAGTCTCTTCCCTGCAGTGGGCACAGGGGCCGATCGCTCTATTTTAGAGGTGAGCAATTTTAGTATAGACAGAGTAAGTCATTGGCTAAAATGTGGTGGCAAATTGCGAAGCCAGGACTCATGCTCGGAACATTTTATCGGACTTGTGGGACTTTTTCTTTCTGCTGTATCCTGTAGTGGAATTCCTGTGGCAAAAAAGGAAAGAGTATTTTGGGGCAAAACATCTGGTTCCCCTCCACCAAATAGTAACAAGTGAAGGTCTATCCTGTTCATCCCTAGGGTCTCTCACCTGTCATACCTGTGATATATCTGCATAGTGACCAAACCTCCACTGAGGTCAGAGTCCAAGCGCCTTGTGCCATCGGCAAAGCACAGCTCTAACACGGAGGAGTATGGAAGACTACACAGTGTTTTGCAGAGAGATTTGCACTGGGGTGTGGTTAAGCTCCCCGGAAAGTACAGTGATGTGGTCGGCCTTTCCCATGCCCTGTGCACTGGCCACAGGGTGCCTTGAATTCACAACCTCCCTTGAGCAAAACCTCACAGCCCTAGGGCCTGTGACCCCTGCGGCTCACCTCCTCCGCACTGCACGCTGCACCCTTCCCAGCCACTGTGGGTCCAGATGAACAAAGAGTCCTGGGGTTTTTCTGGCTCACTCTGATTTTCGGCAGTGTAGTTCACTGGAACGGTGTACTCGTAATGGATTCCATAATTTTGGTCGTGAAATAACAGCACCTGGATCAGCAGCAAAATAAAAGGCCATTCTGAAATTGAACGGCAGCCTCCGGGCTTGCTGAGCTTGCAAACCAATCCCCCCCTACCCCATGGGGCTGTCTCCCCACCAGGGTAACCAGTTCATTTCTGGGTTTCAAAACAGTCTAGGGGCACCTTCTTATTTCGGTCTTGGATTCCTCAGAATACAAGTTGAGTTGAGTTGGATTGAGGTGAGTTGGATCCCTGAGTTGGATTGCTCAACTCAGCGGCAGGAGTGTATGTGGACCATCAGCGGGGAGCTCTGCCCTTTCCCACTGGAGAGACGCCCAGTTTGGATCAGGAATTGGGAAATGGGCAAATTTGCGGGCTCTCGCTGCACTTTACATGCAGAGCTGCTCCACACAGAGAAAGAACCTGTTCCCGCATACTCACCCATGAAGCTGCCCTTGCAGCCAAGAAAGACACAAATACACTGTTTTTCCCTAAAAAGGCATGTGAACAACAGATAGGGTTATTCTGCTTCTTCAAAAATGAACACCACTCTTCAGTCCCCTGGCACAGGTCATCTCTACATGTCAGGCAGGCTCAAGGACAAACACAGCTCACCGCAGAGGAGCCTTGGGAACTTCTGTTCAGGGGTCCAAGGACACATGAGCCTTCTTGCTGCTACAGGAGTTAGGACGTCAATGACCACAGGGTGGCAGAGGCCTGACTCGAGGCTGAAAGCTGAAAGTGAGGAGCGGGGAGCCATCTTGCAGGTTGGGGACCCTTGGGTGTGAAATCCCGGTGAGTGAGAAGATGGATGGGTCGGTCAGCTCTTCATATAACAAAGCATCACAAGCCCTGTAAAGACAGAGCTGCTCTCCCAGCTTTGTTTCCCGACATGCTTTGGTGCAGAACAAGCCCTCTTGTGGGAGCCTGGCTGGAGATGACTCGTCTTTGGGCTAGTCTTGGAACCAGTGGGCACCCGGGGGTCAAGGCAGCTATCAAGTTCACTTCCAGGCCTGGAGGAGCAGCAGACAGCTACAGGCAGAGTGCGCTCCACCTGCCTTGACCTGGGGAGGGGACCACGCAGCCCCTGAGCCTCTCCCAGGCCTCCCAGAGCTTGAGTGGCAGGGTGGGGGTGAGGTGCTAAGAGCGGCCTAAGCCGCATAAACATCCACTTCTCCAAGAAACAGACTTGCAGTAATGCATTTGGAAAAATGTCTCCAGTTAGGGGAAAAAAAAAAAAACAAAAAACAACCTCTTTAAAAGATTTTTATTATCTCAGTATGGGAATAAGACTGGTGAATCAAGAATCCATATGAAACCAATTTCATGCAATTTTGCAGCCACGTATAATTTGTGTGTGTGAGTGTGTAATTGGTTTCAAATGCAGGTCCCGGCGGCTCTTACGGGTGCTCCCGACCCTGCAGGCAATGTATGCACCCCAGGTTGGGGACAGTGGACTTCTATTTAGAAGCAGAGGGGCACCTCTCCTTTCTGGATTTAACAACTTGAAGTAATCATATTTCAAGAGAAAAATGATTAATAACTATTAAAAAGGGTTGGAACTTCAGCTGAGTCCTGTTTATCAGGCACGTCTCCATGATTCCATGTGCATTTGCTTTAATGGGCTAATGATTCACTCAGTTTATGAAAGTGTTGGGCACAGAAGAAAAATATACCCGTCTTAGGGTTTGATTAAAAAGCATATTCATGTCCTAACAGGTGACAGCGCTGCATGGCTTTTCTCTTGTCTTATGCTTCCTCTTACATCAGGAGAGGAGGATTTGTTCTAATTCAATACTCTAATCGCAGGGCAGCGGCTTTGGGAAAGGTTCTTGGGCTCTGGAAATCAGACTCGCAGGGGCTATGTCTACAGCAGACTTCATGGGCTGAGTGCTGGTTGAGTTCATTGGCGGGTTGCTGGACGGTTGAAGTCATATTCTCATCAGAAGGTGTAGTGGGGGTAGGGCCATCATGGGTGATGTACTGGGTGCCGGTGCTCGCAGGCAGAGCTGGTCTCAGGGGATTCCCTGAGAGGTGGCCAGGGAATCTTCTGGCTGTCACCTAACCTTGAACGGCTGCAGATTGCCAGAGACCGCAAATTAATGGAGAAAAAAAAAATTTCCAAGCGGAGACTTTGGCAAGCACGGAGGACAAAATGTGCTTTGATTACAGACGCACAAGCTGCCGCAAAATCCGTTCTTTGGAACAAGACATGGAATCAATAATTATGAGCTATCAGAAGTTAGCCATGAGAACTTCTGGATGCTGAGCAGGAAATGGTGGTACTCCCTTCTCTGGAGATCTTTAATGCTCTTACAAGGATGTATGACCGATGTGAAAGTGGTTTATGCAGGATCCCTGCCTGAGACAACAGGTAAGACAAGGTTGCCCCAACCTGGGCTGACTATCCAGGGACTAAATCTCCCTGTAGAACTTAGTTCTCCTTCCTGATTCCCGAACGCTTGTTGCGAGGCAAGTCTGGAAAATCTGAGCGATGCTGGTTTGGAAAGAGAGTCAACGGTTCATTTCCAAAAGGTAGTTTCCAATGTGGATATACAAACTGTGGGGCGGATCTGTGCCATCTGATATAAAAATACAGACTCCGAGCGGGGCCGTCTGCTTGATGAGGCCAGTTCTCCCTGGCTGCCACATGGCTAAGTATTTCCTTCCTGGAGGCAGTACCTTTTGAAAAAGATGGCAGCTCTGCCAGTGAGGAGCTAGGGGGAAGTTCTGGGAGGGGAAGATTCTCAGGCATGTGGCAAAAGGGATGAGATAAGAGAAGATGGAGAGAGGGAGGGAGGGAGAGGGAGGGAGGGAGAGGGAGGGAGGGAGAGAGAGAGAGAGAGAGAGAGAGAGACAGGCATGAGCAGCAGGTGGCCAGGTAACCCACCAGGAACCAGGCGCAGCTCCTCTCCCCAGGGTCCCAGGGAAGAAGAGACTCAGCAGACCCCATGAAGCCTCAGGCTCAAGACAAATGCAAAAGCGCAGCAAGTTACCATCAGATGGAGTGGTATTTTGGTTGGTCCCTTGGCAGAAATCTTCTCCCACAGGCCCCTTCTAACATAGCGGACGGTGGTGCCTGCGATCTGGTACTCCCCGGGGAGCTCTATCTTCCAGTCGTTGTTGATGGATCTCTTACTGGTATCTTTCAGAGCTAGAAAGAAGGGAACACCATGGGAATCAGGGGGAGTCAGTCTGGGTGTCCTGAGTGGTGGGTCAGAGGTGTCACCCTCCGCCTCTACAAGGGGAAGGGAGGTGGGCATGCAGTGACAGAAGTTAAGTCTTCTGTGTGCTGAGAACAGAAGCCTTGCTCACAGGGGGAGAACAGCCCAAGGCCCCCAGGACCGGAAGAAACCTGAGAAAGAGCGGTTCTGATGGCAGCCCCTTCAAGTGTGGGCTGTCTCAGAATCAATTCACCCGGCAGGGGTGCAGGGAGGAGCTCTAGAAGATAGAGACAGGCACGGCACAATCATGCGTTCCTCGGCTTCCAGAGGAGAGCGTCTCCTGCCTGATGGATGAATTCTATCTTACTGTGTCCAAGGCTACGAAGAGGGGTTTTGCTGCTTTAGCAAAACCCATCAGCTCACTTTACTGTCACCTATCAGGGGCTTTAAAAAAATTTCTTTTTAATGTTTTATTTATTTCTGAGAGAGAGAGAGACAGCATGAGCAGAGGAGGGTCAGAGAGAGAGGGAGATACAAAATTTGAAGTAGGCTCCAGGCTTTGAGCTAGCCAGCAGCACAGAGCCCAACGAGGGGCTCGAACCCACAGACCTTGAGATCCTGACCTGAGCTGAAGTCGGATGCTTAACCGGCTGAGCCACCTAGGTGCCCCTATCAGGGGCGTTTTAAAGTGACAGCCTAGTCTGGCTTCTCTTAAGGATTCGATAGCCCTGCATCAGTAAAGTGGATGCTCCCTGAAGAAACTGTCATTATTCTTTTAAACAGGAGGGTCTGGGAGTGTGGGTTGCCCACAGACTGGGCGGGAAAGCTCCGCCAATTCTGCGAGAGCAGGGCTCCGCGGGCTTCGGGTTCATGCTTCGCCAGCTCACACCTGCACTCGGTACAGAATGTGCTGGAAGAGACAAAACCAACAGTTTGCTGATCGGCCAGAGCACAAACGTGGTTTTCCATACAAGCCGTATATTGATGGTCCAAGAGCCGACAGTGACTTTTTTGTGTCTCCTTGCTTAGGTCTGGAGTCCTGTTGCTGTTACAAGGAGAGCACTCTGTCGTGAAAGCCTGTGGTTTTGTTTTGTTCTTGAGGAAAGCAAAGAACTACTCTGGGCATTTAGGAGAAGGTGGCAAATGACAATAGGTGGCCCCAAGTCTTATGCTACCCAAAAAATGAAACTATGGGCACCCAGAGTGCAATGCCTCAGTCTCTGTAAATACAGTTGGGGCCCCCGAAGTCCCCAATGGCTTTGGGACACTGCTCAGTCCACCACAATCAGAGAAATCAGGTTCTACCTCACTCCTTATTCTCTGTTTATGGAGGCCAGGAATAAAACACCTGCATTTAGTACCGATTTTGCATAATGAGAGTTGAAGCCAGAAAGGGGTTCCTGTTAACCCGGATCCCATGAGCTCCAGGCTGGGTTAGGATCTGGTTGGACCTGGTGCCGGTCCAGCCTCATGCACCCGGGAGACGCTGGGCCTCTGCTTCCTCATCTCCAAGACATTATGGTCCCAGCCCTCGCTCCTACCCAGCAAGGCTCTCCTGGCATGCACAGAGGAGATGCATGCTCAGGACTCCTTGCTTATAGGAACTGCCAAGAGAAACCGAGAAAGAAACAGGAAGGGCCGCTTTCCAGTAGAGCGACTTCCAGTCGGGGTTTCATATCCAGGGTGGTTGTGCAGAGTGAGTGGTTGAGGATTACAGGACTCTAGGGAAGGCTTAGAAGAGAGAAGGCTCTACTTCTTGGAATCAAATGTTTCCCTTCAAGAAATTCTACCTGCTACTGACATTTCCTGGCGCCTAAAAGGAGGTGAGAGTGTCAGGATACTTACAATTTCTGCTTCCTCGGCCACCACCTACAAGCTACCATTTAAGGGGCACGTTCTCTGACTTAGAACCTACATGTACTTTTACCCATTTAACCTTCCCAACAACTCTCCAAGGTAAAGGATCATCTTGCTCTGTCCTCAGATGAGGAAATGGGGGTCCAGAGAGGTTACGTTACCTGCCTAAAGTCACACAGCTATTACGAGTGGACACCTGAACCTAACAGACCAAGCTCAGCACCCTTACCATTCTGACTGTATAAATCCCCATATTCCTTAGGTGACAGCTTCAGTCTAGAGTTTTAGGACAAACACCGAAATGTGCAAATGACATCCTTGTTTTCAAAGGCAACACATTCCAGGCTCGAATGGGTGCAAGGTCTCACGTTCCGTACACTCTCATAAAAATCACTAACCTTGTGGATTTCCACAGCTTCCAGTGAATGAACAGCCTCAAGTGTGTCGGGTTATGTTAATCATTGGGGAATCTGGGTGAAGCCTGTAGGGGCGTTCATTGTTCTCTTTCTCTGTAGGTTTGGAAAATTGGTTCTTGCACATGCATACGAAAACTTGGTCTCAGAAATCAGTGCAGGTTAGGGAGTTGTGGCAGACAAGCCAAAGGAAGGGCCAGAGTCCTCCTAGAACTGTCTCAGAAAGAACAAGATGGGGAAGCCCAGGGAGCAACCTACACATGCCCCCACCCCCACCCCAGTCAGCCCCTCAACGTTCTTCTGAGGGCCTCCTAGCTGGGTGCTGAGTGCACAGCTCCTGCCCTCAACCAGCTCCATACGTGAAAGGGTGAGAGAACAGATAAACACAACACAGTTTCACAGGCTCTCTGGCAGAGGCGAGTTTGAGGCCCTCATACGTGTGTGCGGGTGACAGGGATGGGGGCAGATGGGAAAGACTTTCTGAAAGCAAAGCAGAGGCAGGGAGAAGAGATGGTGATGACAGGCATGGACTGTGGATCCTGGCCTGGGTGGCCTTGACTGGAGAGAGAAAGACTCTGTGTGGAGAAGAGGGAGGCAAAGGACTTTTTTTTTTTTTCTTCCAGAAGTTTGGCTGGACAAAGGAGGTGAGGTGAAGAGTGGCTCTAGAGGGTGGAGAAGGGGAGAGGAGTTTCAGTGTTCCTGTTATCGGGGTTAGAGGGATGAGCATAAGTTATTTTAGAGCTGCACCCTGACCACCATCATGATTGGGCCCGCCCCAGAGAACCCACTGCCCACACAGAGATCAGAGGCACTCTGCGGTGGCTGCGTTCCTTGTCATGGCCCACCCACATCACCTGCTAACACCCCCATTCAATGCCCGGGGCTGGGCCCTTGGGTGTAAGAGCTGGGGCCCTGACCTTCTTCTCAGGTTATGGCTGCTGTGAATTGTGTGTTGCTGTCTAGCATCTATTTCTTCAAGTAACAACAACCTGGAGTTGCTTTTGGGGAGATGTTCTTCCTCTACCATGCCAGGTAGATCCCAAACTCACCCCATCTCCAGGGATGGACAGTGAGAGTCAGTCCCATGACTTTGTTCACCTTGGGAAGCAGAAGCTTTCTTACCACAGGATTGCCCAGAGACTCGATTTAAGTCTGGGTTATCAGTACATGGGAAGAGGCCCCCAGAATAAGGTCAACCAAGAGAGGACAGCAGTGCCAGCGTAGAGAGATGATGTTTTCCCATGGTATAATTTAAAGCTCCTGGATCAGCCATGCCTGAAGTTGATGCTCAGCAATGAGAACTGGATTTTGCTGCTTCCACATTTGCTTTTTGGAGGTTGGCTTAAAAAAAATACTAACCATGATAGGGGCAGAGCAAGTTGGGAAGGATTATTAGTGTGGAGTCCTAGAAACCAGCCTAGGACTCTTACTAGCATAGGCTTAGTGCCCAGAGATTTAGAAGGCTTGACATACTCTATCTTTGCCTTAAACTGTCTCCCAGGCCTCTGCTCCTGTCTGACACTAATGTTCAGGATGAGGTGATTCTTTCTCACTCAGCCTTGTTTGTGCCTTTCCCCCACCCTTTGTGGAAGGCGCTTTAAAGTGACTTAGTGAATTATAAACTGAAAGCTTGAAAGCTACGCCGACTTCATGCCAAAAGTCAAACATCTGGGGGGTCAAGAGTGGGATGGACTGGGAAAAGTGCAGGAGGGCACACCTGGAGATGATTATAAAACCATCCACAGAAACAGCGTGCAGAGGTGTGGGGGGGCCAGCCTGGGGGGCCCTGCTTCTGCTGACAGAGGCATCCATTGTGGGTGAGAAGTGTGGCACAAATATCCAGCCAGCCAGGGCTTGGGGGGCATCGTCCTCTGATTACCAGAGGTTGTCCCTGCCAGTAGGGGGAGGTGCTGAGAGGGGTAGGTGGAGGAGACCTTACAGGAGGTCAGCTGCCTCCGAGAAGTGAGTGTGGTCAAGGAAGAGCGGGGAAAGGCTGTGGCTGGCAGGTTATTCCAGAACAAGGCCAGCAGCCGACTGGGGAAGAACACGTCAGACAGTGGAGCACTGGTAACCAGCCCCCTTAGGAAAGAAGCCTGGATTGATAGTGCTTGTTGCTATCCAAGGGGTCAACGACCCCACTGTGGCAGGTTTCAAGTCATCTGTGTGTTGTCAGTGAACGCAGAGCTCCTCCAAGCCACGCGCCGCAGCTGCCCGCCCCCGCCCCCCCTCCCGTGAGTTCTGGAAGTGCTTGTCTTTGCTCTGGAGGGCCTGGTGAAATCTCCCATGATCACAGCTTTGGGGGCGGGTGGGCGGGGCTCTCATGTCCTCAGAAAGAATAAAATTTGTGTGCCCAAGCTCTGCTCACAGCGCCTCTGCGGGTGGCTGCAAGCTTTCGGGAACTGCAAACGTGGCTTTGCAATTGCCACTCGGCACCCCCATTCTCAGGACAGGGTGATCGTGAAGACAATCCTTTCTGAATTTTGCAGTGGGAGGAAAAACACAGAGTTAAAAGTAGGAGCTCGGTAATCCCAAGAAGCATGGAGAGTGCCTCAAACCTACCGACTTCGGGTGAGCAAGTTAGTCAGCAAGGTTCAAAATTTGCACAGTTTTTGCTGGGGTCCAGTGGTGACATCAGAATTTCCGCTGAAATCGGAATTTAGCACTTGACCTTCCTTCAAAAAGGGCGGGATAGTGGCCTCAGAGAATCAGCTGGAACATCAAGATCATTATCACCAGTAAGTAAATAGGTTCCTTGTGGAGTCCAATGAGGAAACCATGTTGTGGGGCCATGTCCGCTCCAGACAGTGAGAACTCAGATCACCCCTGACCCATCCACAGGGGCCTCTGCCCCGAGCAAGCTTCTCTCAGCATGGTTTGCCAGAGCTGCCAGGCAGAAGTGCCGCTCCACCCCCTGAAGTTGCAGGAATACTTTCCAAGGCCTTGTACATAATGTGGTGTTCTTTTTCTTAAAGAAGGCCCCAGAGCTAAATAAGTTTGGGGCCCCCCAAGTTCCTGTCCCTCTCAATGCTGCAGCATCGATGGGTATGGGCAAGGACCCCCACCCCCACCCCTGTGGCAGAGGCAGTTTTGAGATTTGGAATTTGGACTTTTAGGCCTAGAAACTCAACAGGGGCTACTGAAATGATTACAGATGCTTTGCTTTGACAGGCAAATGAAGAAGTTCAGAACACAGGGAAATCCTGAGCGACTTGATGGGATCTGTGCTGTCTGCAGTTCAATCCTCTGGGGCACGACATTTTGCTTGCGGGTGCTGCCTGGGTCAGAGGCTGGAGGTTTTAAGCCACTGTCCATAAGAGAATAGCGCCTGCTTTTGTACATTCGCCTCAGGAGCCTTTAGAAGCCTTCCAGCAGCTTAGAGAGACTTCTGCGGGGATGAGGGTGGGCACGTGCTCTTTCTCGCTACCTGTGGCAGAACAAAACCTCCTGAATGGCCTGGGATGTGAGGTCACGTGGCAAATGTCCATTTCTACCCCTGGGCCCTTCTTTCATCCTGTGAACATCTACACATTGTCCCTGGACCTCCAGGCACCGCGAGGAAAGAAGATCATGAGCCGGTCTGGAGAGCAAGGGAGGGGAGGGTTCCTGATGGAGGGCACAGCGCCTCCTCACTGCTGGCTGGAGGCAGACACCAGTGGCCGGACCCCGTCCCCATGCCCTCCTCTTGCGTGGCGCTGTGCAGAAGCTGGGCTTCTTTTCTGTCCTTCTCCCTCTTGGATTCCACTGGAAGACTTGACCCACAGTCAACGTACTTCTAATCCTGGCATCCAGTCAGTTCCTTTTATTTCCACTCACAGTTCTGCCAGCTCTGTTCTTAGCTGTGGATGCAAACGGCAGCGGCATTTCCTGTTCCAGGTGGTTTTGAGCAGAAAGCCAGGCAGCGTGGGCTGAAGGTAGGTGGGGTGAAATTCTTTAGGAACTGCTCCCAGCAAATGTGAGAGTAATTCAAAGTTACACTGGGTTGACTTCCAAAGCACCCAGCCCCGAGTGGAAACAAGGGCTTGTTTGAACTAACTTTAGAAACATAACGAGCGTGGACCACCTTCGGATGTGCCCTTGCTCACACGCCAGGCCCCAGAATCCTGGGATTAAAGTTTACGAACAAGATAAGAAGACAAAAGCCGGCTGCCCTTCTCCGCTGGAGGTCCGGTGCTGCCGGGGAAGCGGTCCTGAGACCCTGCACTGATTGCCTTGGGATGGAGGTTTGCTTCTTTGAAGTGCACATAAATAAGTCATAGCAATGGGCAGCTGTAACGCGTGTTGGCCAGTGAAAAATCGTCTCCCTCTATTGATCTCTGGCTGTACCTGAACACATCAGAGCAATTCTAGGAGGCTCTGGATTGCTGCAGGCCCAGGTGAAATGAGGACTTTTGGACAGGCTCCTGAAAGCCTGGAGGCTCAGTTTCTTCCTCAGGGAAATGGGCAAAACAATACTTTGCAGTAGCTTTGGGGGTGGTTAGGGGTCAGGTCTGCAAAGCTGGGCAGGGCTCAAAGACTGGGAGCCACGAACATCGATGTTACCATTACCTGCGTGTGTGGCCCACAGGCTCTGAGAGGAGCCGAGAGCTTGGCCCCCCATGGGCAGCATCACTATTGACTTGGCCTTAAAGTGGGTTCCAGCAAAACGTCCATGCTTACTACAGAAATTAGCAGTTGAGCAATCTACAGGATTCTGACATCCTTCTATCATTCTTAGGTTGCTACAGAAAAGCACAGCTAATATTCTATTTTGGACAGAAACCTGGGGCTGGGAAGTCTCAGAAGCCAGGACTGAAAGCCAAGGGACTCGTTTGCTGGTCAACCAATACATTGACCTTGGAACTGCACCAGTTCTGGGGATACTGAGATTAGGAGTTTTGAATAGGATAAGGGTCAAAGGCAATGTCTGCCTCCCGCAGACACCCAGTGGCCCCAGGGAGTATAAATATCCTTTCCACGTTAGGGAGGGCTGATGTATCAGTTCTGGGAGTGACCCAAGGTGATAGTTGCCAATGAGGTTGACCCAGTTTCCTTAGGTGGGCGGAAAGGGGCAGGAGTATGCTCTTTGAGAATTTAGGAAAAAGGTCACTGCTCCAAAGAAGATGGCAGAAGCAGGACAAGGCTTTTAGAAAGCATGTATAAGCATTATTCTATCTGCAGTGACAGCTCGGACAGCTGCGGTGAAGGGGCCCAGGCTAGACAGGACAGCGTCCGTGCCGGGGAGGTGGAAAAACCACAGAGCTGATGGAGACGGATGTGAGCGTTAACCTGTGAGGCTCCACCCTGGCTTTAGGAGCAGCGGTGACTTCATGGAGGCAGAGTGCACAGCAGAAGAGAAATCTGCAGAGGAGGTGACAGGGTCGCCTGGGACACAGTAGGGGCCCCGGGAAGCTGCTTGCTGGTGAGCCCTGGTGTGGGCCCTCGGGAACAAGAGCTACCATCCCTACTCCCGCCCTTTCCACATGTGTGAGGATTATCTGAGTGCCTGCAAAGTGTTTTCTTAAATAACAGGACGGTGGTCTTCATTGGAAACTTGCCTAAGAGAGGTTTGTTTTACGTCAATCTAATGAGACTTGGAGTTTCTCAAGTACAGACCATTTCAAAGAAAGAGCTAGATCCTTCTGAAGCTGCAGAGGCAGTAATGTGGACAATGATATAATTTTTTTAAAAATCAGTGATTAAAACTGAACTGAAACCATTTCACGAGGAACTTCATGTGAGCCAAAACTTAATTCTTAAGTTTGAAGCCAGAGAGAGAGAGAGAGATCGTGTCTTATAAGTTCTTTTCAATCTCGAACAGCACCTTGCGACACAGATGGAAGAGATTATAATACGAGGAAGCTCACGAGGAGAGGGCCTGGGTAGGGGATCAGCCACCTCCAGTTTGAAATCCAGCCAGAGACAGACATAAGTAGGGCTGGCAGGAGGGTGTGGGTCACAATATGTTCCATCCCAGGGACTAGAAGTAGAGGCAGCCACTGAGCACACTGCTGGCTCCCAGACCAGCATAAAGGACACTTAGGTGTCAGCTCATCACTCTATCCTGGTGCTCAAGTACCAGGCAGACCTTTGAAAGGTCTAAGCTTAAGATCCACTCAGAGGGACTTCTGTGCCTAAGGAGGTGTTTAGTTGAACAATTCGTCTTAGGTTTAAAAAAAATTTTTTTAATGTTTGTTTATTTTTGAGAGAGAGAGAGAGACAGAGACAGAGACAGAGAGAGACAGAGTATAAGTAGGGAAGGGGCAGAGAAAGAGGGAGACATAGAATCCAAAGCAGGATCCAGACTCTGAGCTGTCAGAACAGAGCCCAACACGGGGCTCGAACTCATGAGCTGGGAGGTCATGAACTGAGCCAATGGCTGCCCAACTGACTGAGCCCCCCAGGCGTCCCTCTTCTTAGGCTTTAAGTATGGTTCTGTTGAAAGCAATGAAGACAAATCTGGAATGGAACCCAAGCCTTCCGGAATGGAACCCAATCCTTCCGCAGACAGACACAGGCATTTGTGCCTGAAGTCACTAGAGGTGGCCACTAGGAATTTGGGGTACACAGCACTTAGTGAAAACAAGGTTTCTTTTGTGCTTCCATTGGATTTAAGGCTATTACTCTTTTTTCCAGCTAAGAAATCATGCCCAGAGCCCTCAACAGCCTCTAGGGGCTCCCCCTAAGCTAGGCAATGGGTCTATGCTGCACAGGCTAAGGATGCTTTGGGTTCTCCTGGGGTTACTTTGGGGGAACTTTCGCTGCCCCAATTCCTTCCTTCCTTCCTCTGTCATCTTCTATGACATCTTCAAAGCTGGTGGTTCCTCCTGATCTTCCCCACCCCATCCACTTTCAGGGTGGCCACACTTTAGCCAAATAATACAGCACTATGTGGAGCGCTCTGATTACTTCTATCATTATGCCTCAAATACAAACAAAACCCGTGCCCTAGGAGAATGATGCTGGACCAAATAATCAGCTGGATCACGCAAATCTTAGAGCATAAATCACGGACCAGATCACTTTCATTTTACCCAGAAAACTGTGGGCAGGTTTATCCTCCACCACACGAATCCTCCGAGCTCCAGCGGGAATGACCACAGCTTCAATATAACCTGTAGTGACAGATAACATACAGGTGAAGCACATCTCCACCCCCTATTAAGGCCCATGTAGAGCTCCCCAGAAAGATCCACCCTACTCCCGCCTCCCACCCCTATGGTAATTTCAGAGCCTGTGGGATGGGACGGTCCAGCTCCGAGAAATCAAGTCAACCAACAAAGAGTTGTTCTTCGATGGCCAGAACCGCCTGGCTGCCCAAGTTCCAGAGAGCACCAGTTGCATGTGTTAAGAGTTGAGCTGTCTCTCCCCTGTGCCCATTCTTAAGTTCAAGTCCTAACCCCCAATACCTCAGAATGTGATTTGATTTGGAAGTTGGGCCTTTGCATATGTAATTCGTTAAGATGAGATCGCACTGGAATAGGGTGGGCACCTAATCTTATAAAAAGGGGAAATCCCGATGCAGACACACACACGGAACTCCATGTAAACACGAAGCAGAGATCACGTTGATGCATCTACAAGCCAAGGGACACCAAAGATTGCCAGCAAACCACCAGAAGCTAGGAGAGAAGCATGAACCAGATTCTTCCTTACAGCATTCTGAAGGAAGCAACCCTGCCCACACTTTGATCTTGGACTTCTAGCTTCCAGAGCCATGAAAGAGTCAGTGAGGATCTGTGGTTTATGCCACTCAGTTTGTGGTCCTTGGTTTTAGCAGCCCCTGCTGACTAAGACAGCCTGGAGTCCTAGCAGACTAAGGGACTCCTCCCTGGAGCATGGATGCACAGAGCCCCTGATCACTTCATCTGTTGGAGGTTCCTCTGGTCTTCGATGTACTTTGAGCTTTCCCTGAATCTGTGGAATGATAGCAGAAGTTAAGCTACTCCCCCAATGACAAAATCACTTCTTAACACACTGTGTGCGATTTTCCTACTTCCATTGACCTTCGGGAATTTCTGCAACTCTCCCAGTACATGCTTTTGTCTATTTCCTTGAGTATTTCCAGCTATAACAGAAGCCCCTCAGAGGCCAGAGAGCTGCTTCTGCCATACTCTGACCCGACATGTACCCAGACAGTGGGCAGATAATGATGATTCAGGGAGGAAATGGCTGAGGCTGCCAGGGAGGAGGTTGGCCATTGGCAGATGCCTAGTTTCACTGTGTCAATAAAGGAACCCAACACTGTTGGTGAGATTCCGAAATGCAGGCTGGTAATCATTTAGTTTTGATTTTCATTTGGGTTTTATGTGTGTTTGCTTCAGCAGTTTAGGTGATGATCCCAAATTAGATTATGAATCCCTCCCCTGTAGTTCCTAAATGTGATCACCAGAATCAGCAGGGGAGCTTTAAAAATGAGAGATTTCTGAGCCCAACTATGTAGAGATTATGGAAATATCTATTTTTGAGGGGTTTATTTATTCCCTCATTTTCTCCCAGCAAAACTAGCTTTATTCTAATTATAAAAATAGTACATGATAATTTAAACCACAATAGGAAAAGAAAACATAAAATCAACCTGTACCACATTGCACTACAGAAATTACCCCTAAAATAGTAATATTTTGGCAGCTAGCCTTTTCAGCATCTGTTAATACATATAAAAATACATACATCATTTTACATGAATAGAATATTGTACATAGTTTTAAAAGGTCAAGGACAACTTTAAAACAGAGGTTTGCTAGGTAATATGTGCCCAAGGTGCAAAATTCAAATTACAAAGGATATGGTAGAAAGTATGTTTCCCTAATAAGAAATATCCTGCACTTAGTTACCTTTTCACTATTTACATATTATTATTATTCATAATAAGTTGTCTATTTTGGCTGGGTTTCCATAAAACTAATTGAAACATCTGCTCATATGGCAGTTTTGTTTCTTCCTTCCTAATCTTTATGGCTTTAATTTCTTCTCCTTTCACCGCTATGGCTGGAGCTTACAAAACCATGTCGCATGCAACATGGGCCTGGGCCATCCTTTCTTTATTCATGATGTTCACAGGAATGTCTCCAAAATTTTCCCACTGAAAATGTGGTCTGCGTGACAATGGGATGGATAACAATTATCAGGTTAAGAAAATTCCCTTTCATCCTAGTTTGCTAAAAGCTTTTGTTAAAAAGAGGTACTGAAATGAATCAAGTGCTTTTTTTTGCACCTACTGAGGTCACCATGTTGTTGTTTTCCCCAAAGAACCCAAAGACCTCAAGGCAACTGAACTGTAATCACACTGGTCATGGCTCACATAGCATGTGGGTCAGTCTCTTAGCTTTGTCTTTCCTTCACCAACATATTTTAGTTGTTATTTGTTTCCTATTCTGATGTTTTCCTATAAATCTTTAGTTATATATACATTCTAGTATGTGATTTGTCAACTGTAAGTGAAATATTTTAATCCCTGGATATTAAAAGATGAGGAGGGGGCACCTGGGTGGCTCAGTCAATTAAGCCCCTGACTTCTGATTTCTGCTCAGGTCATGATCTCATGATCTCAGGTCATGAGGCTGAGCCCTGGCATTGGGCTCTGCATTGACAGTGCGTAGCCTACTTGGGGTTCTCTCTCTGCCTCTTTCTCTCTCTCTGCATCTCCCCTGCTTGTGCACACAACACGTGTTCTTTCTTTCAAAAAAAAAATGACGAAGTCAGCATAGCTACACTGTGCTCTACTTTCTTACATCCTTTCAACTTTTATTGTATGAATCCTACATTGTATAGATTTATAACATTTATCTTTTGCTAAGATAATTGCTGCAGTTGTTTCTATCTTAATCCTAAAAATTAATTTAATGTTCATTATGTGTCTCCTCTGCCACAGTTTCTTCAGCAAATTCTTATATGCCTCATATTTGCACTCAGAGATGGGCTTGGGAGAATTATATTTTCTGAAATGTAATATAGTAAAACATTATTGTTTGTTGTTTTGATACTTGAATGTTAGTTTGATAGCTATAAAGTTCTTGGCTCACACTTTCTTTCTCTGAGTTCACTGTAGGATTTGCTCCACTGAATGTCAATGAGAAGAAGACTGAGGCCAATCTGCTGTTTTCTTTTCATTAGGTTACCTAAAATTGGGATTGAATGCCTAATAGGGTCTTACATTAAAAATCTGATATCTATTAGGCTAGTCACATTTTAGTATAATTTTTTTCCCAGGACATGATCCTATATTATTATTATATTGTTTGGTTTTCTATTTCAGGGACACCAAATTATGCTTGATTTTCTTTCCCTTCCATTGTGTTCATTCAATCTCTTACCCTTTTGATTCTTTGTTCATTTGCATTTTGCTCAGCCCATTTTTCTCAATCTTGTCCTCCATGCTTCTTCTTGTGTTCTCAGCAATATCACTTTACTTTGCTTCCACATGAACTTGGCTTTTGTGATGGATTCATTTTCTTTTTTTGACATCTTTCCTCAGCTCTGCCAAGTCATGTTTCATCCCCCTCTGCTGCTTCACCGTAACTTCACTGAGGTCTTATTTCATAGCCATGAGTTCTTGTTTTATTGATGCTGTTGTTTAATCAGTTTTTGGCATTTATGACAGTAACATTTGGTTGAAATTTTCATCTTTCTCCTTGGTAACATTTTGCTAGTGGGTATTTTTAATCATTCATTTGTTCTCCTGTCCTCTATTTCTTCCCTATTGCAGTTATGGGTCCTGTTCTGATCCTCTTTCCAGATTTATTATGAATTTTTAAATGACACAAGTTATACTTGTACAAGCTACTTATAGTAGGCTTATACTGTAGGCAAAAATTGTTAGGATGTAGGTTTATGTAAATCAGTGAGTTTGTTTTCGTACAAATTTCTATATTTTAAATTTATACAAATACACATGTATATTTTCTCATAAGAATTTTATAATACAAGTAAATCTCAAGTCCTCTTAATCCCACTCCCTCCCTGTGGGAACTGCCACTATTAGTTTGGTGTATATTTATTCAGATATTCAAACAAATTAAAAATACACTGTGTGGCATTTTCATATTTATATTTATCTATATTTTACATAAGTGTTAGGAGTAACATTATAAATAAATCTTGTATTATACTTTTTTTAAAATGCTATTTCTTGGAGACCCATATGAGTGCATATAGTTCTACTTCATTTCTCATTTAAATTGCTATGTAGTTTATGTGACTACTCCCTTAATGATGGACATTTGTTTCAAATTAGTCATTGTTAGAAACAATGCTATATTATGTAAAACTATGCACACAAAACCCCTAACAAAATACTAGCACCCTAATCCAGGAACATATAAAAAGGACTATATACCATGATCAAATAAAATTTGTCCCAGGGATTCAAGGTTAGTTTAAGATATAGAAATGAATCAATGAAATCTGTATAAAAAACAAAAACCACAAGATCATTTTAACAGATTCAGAGAAAACTCTGATAAAAGTTAATGCCCTTTCATGATAAAAAACACTCTACAACCTAGGAATGAAAGGGAACTTCCACAACCTGATCAATAGCACTTGGGAAAAACCAATGCTAACATCAGAATTAATGGTGAAATACTTAGATTTTCCCCTAAAATCAGGAAGAAGACAAGGATGTCCATTCTTGGTACATCTACTTAGCATTGCATTGGAAGTTCTCTCCATGTCGATTAGGCAGGAAAGATTGTTAAAAGGCATCCAAATTAGCAAAGAAGAAGTAAAAACATCTCTGTTTGCAGATGGCAAGATTTTATATACAGAAAAATCCTAAAGAATACACTAAAGTATATTAAAACAGGTTCAGCAACTTTGCAAGATAAGAATCAACTGGGGGAAATGCTCAGGGAAGGGGCCAGGGGCCAGTCAAACCTATGACGCTGGTGGTGTCATTGGCTTTAGCACTTTCTGGAGTCAGTGACCAATATTTTAAAACATGATTATGAGCTCGTGGATTTAAAGGAATATCAATTGGAAGGCAGCAAGATGGTGGAGAAGTAGGGAGTTCCATATCTCCTGCCTGCATCTTTCAAACAAAGAGAGCTGAAGCCAAAAGACTCTGAACTGCAAGAGGCTGGAAAGAAAAGAGATGGAATCCAATAAAATGACA